ATTGAAAAGCATTCATTTTAACATTCGTGAATCAATATTTCTGAAAATTTGAATTCATTTCAATCCAATCTCGTTTACTGGAAGATTATATTGTATTTATCAAATTACGCCGAATATGTACTTTCTGTTTTTTTGGAATGCAGACTTTAACTGGACATGTACATTATGAACTGTTCAAGAACCGTATTTTCAAAAAATATTGCATCTAAGAATGTACGAAAATACAATACTTAGTGTTAGTATACGTTGCATTTTCATTAATCTAAAATTTTTTTGTATTGTTTTCTATCAATATTATAATGAGTTTACGGGATTTTTGAAACAAAGAATAAAGATAAATCACGGCAAATGCCATAAATTAATTTTTGAACTAAAACTAAATAACGGTTAATATGGTAGTTAATGTTCTTGGTCAAAGCTATATTTTCATATATAAACAATATTTTTCGAGAATAAGGTCTCAAATAAATTCCGGTTAGGATTAATTCAACAGTATGTTCATATTTTATTTAATAGTTCCATAATACATGCCCTATAATCCAATTTATATTATAATTCCCTCCACTATCCGCCATTATTACTTTTTACCTAGTTTTGTTTTTTCTTATTTCTGTTCATGTATAAAATGTAAAGATTTATAGCTTATGAAAGTCTATGTTATGATTAAATGTGGGAATTAAATATCTGTAACAGAGATTGAGTACCTGGCTCCTTCTATGGATATTGAATCATAAAATAAAAAAATTCTTGAAATCTTGCTACGTTGTATCGAAATTACGGTGTACACGAATACTTACATTCCAATCGCCCATTAATCTCGTCTTAATCAAGATCTATAGCCACTTATTCAAGATATGTAAATCTTAAGAGAACAGCTTCTTGTAGCATCAATTTCTTTGAAAATATCCATTAAGATACTGTTACACAATTTGCAATTATAAAATATGTATTAAATAATTTCATAGTTAATTATATTTTGTTATTTAGAAAATTGTAAATATAATTAGAAATATCTTTCTCAATATTCTTAAAAAAATTTAGAAACGTAATTGATAACATTTGACAAAAAAAGAGATAAGTTTTTTTTCTTCATCTTAAGAAGAATGGATAGGGAAAAGAAAAACAAACAATCATCTGTTCACAAGATAAACCTGTCTTCATCAAAGATCTTATCAGATCCTTTTTCAGATGTTTCTATCGTTCAACGAGACTGACATAATTCAAAACGCATGATCGTAAGTATGCGTATGCTAATAACCATCATTCGAAAGATTCCAAATCTAAAATTCGAGGACCTAATAAAGGTTAGAATTTTGACACGCTGTCAGATGCAATCTCTCGCCGAGAGCATATAATGTGCTCACCAGATGAGAGAAAGCACGAGTATCTCCACGAGCTAGAACTAACGCTGTGAATGATTCCCTAAGAGGGGTTACTACTTTCGCTTTTTCCGTCACTCGACCGTAATTTCAATTTTCGCTCTTGTCCCACCGCTTTTACTTGAAGATTTCCATACCGCTCTAAATATGAAAGTGAACGATCGATTTGTTCAGCCAAATTGAAAACAAGTGCGCCGCATTCTTCCTCGTTTCTAGATTCGTGGTGGAGAAATCACAAATAATGCAGCGATTTCCGCATTAGTAATTTGAATATAATTAAATCAGTTTCTCCTATACATTAATTTAAAAAAAAAAAGAAAAAGAGAACATTTACTTTCTATTAATTAAAAAATTCAAGAACTTAATATATATATTGCCTAATAATCTTGCTTGATAAAGTAGAAGAGTGAAATTAATTAATGTCATGCCTTGTATAATTCCGAAGAAAAATAATTATATATTTAATTGTATTAGAATACTTTCTACCGAAATAAGCTATATAATGAAATTTTGCATTGCAGTTTATCATTCATAATGATCATGTTGCCTAGAATTTTCACCGTTTAAGAAAATGATCCTTGACGAGAGTGATTATCGCATCATCGCACAGATAAATGATAAACAATCGAATACAGCTATGAGAGAATAATGTTGTATAATTAGAAGGTATACTTACGTTAAACAGCTTCGGTTCTGCACACGAATAGATAGTTGCAGTTATTCACAATAATAACATAAATAACAGCGGATATTGTTGTTGTATTTTTATTTCGTAACAGGTAAAATGTGAATGACAACACACAAGGTTATTATCATTATCATTATTATTATTATCAAATACATTAATAGGGTATTAAAAATAAAGGGATGCGATCATTGGATTGTGGCGGCTCGCTAACGATCGCGTGCCCCGGAAGAGAGCTTACAATATTTACAGAAATGAAATGAGTATTATTTTCAATTTGTCGTACACGACCATATGTTTGGCATGCGTGTAAGACGTGCTGCGATGCTGCAGGCGTCGACAACGCTTTGAAAGATATCGAAAAGTGCATCCACTTCGTAGGAACTCTTTCTCGAACGTCGTATGTTTGTAGTCCTCCTAATTATCATAACGACGAGGTCAAAACTCATAGAGTACCGAAGGAGTTATCAAGATATGATGCATTTTTCGGTGTCTCTCTGAGCTTGATTCGATGACGACGAGGAAGCGGGCGCGCGTTTTCGCGCGCACGCTACTGCGTCGTTTGGCACGTAAGAAATCCGGACGCCGCCGTAGGCTCGTCGTGGTGGTAGTGCGTAAGCCGCGGCCTCGTCCGAGCTACTGGATGAGCTGCACGTCGAGCAACAGCTCTCGGCGTCGTCATCCTCGCCGTCCATTCTCGACCTAGACGTGCTTGCCATTCCTGCAAAGATATGTTTTAGTAAATAAGAACAGAATTCATTTAACAAGGATGCTGACATAGATAAGAGTCTTTAAATATTAAGATATTAATTTACTTCTCTTTAAAAAATGAAGGATAAATAGATCGAATTTTAGTAAGGCCATTAACTTTATATATATTACGGGTTATTTTTATATCAAAATGAGTGTTCGAGATAATCCTGGTTGTGGATTTCGTTTTCAAAATCTTAATCGTATTTTTTGATGAGCTTACCCTAATTATGAGAATTATAAAACTGAGTTGATTTAATCTTTGATTGATTTTGAAATTTTTCCTCCATATTCTATAACGACATATTCTATAACACCTGTGGCTGCTAAGGTAATGTTAAAGATTTAAATTTTTGAATATTTATTTATAAGTCTTATTTTCAGGTCAGTGACCAGTTTCAACTACAGTCGAATCTTGAGGTCTCCGATTCCGTTCGCTGTTTTACCGTTAGAACTTCGGAAATTTTAAGTTTTTGTGGAATATTTTTTATGTGGCCTTTGCTCCCCGAAGCGGCATACACTGAATCAAAAGATCCATCTTATCGCATGATACTGACTTTTATATAGGAATATAAAAAAAAAAAAAATCATCCATCAAAATATAAATCATCCATACATTTTTTTCTAAAGACAAAGATTTTACGCACCCCAAGACGTGCTAGCGACTTCCTCGGGCTGCAGACTTCTTGATCGTGACACGTTTGCTCTCGACAGCGACGTGGGCGAGGGCGATGATGACGAATTCCGATCGTTTGTTGGCGAGAGAGGGATGCGCGATGTCGCGCTGTGATCGTTGACATCTAGATCCCCTTGGAATCGCACGCGTCTCGACGTTGGCGTCGGCGGATCCGTCTGGCTGGCTCCAATCCCGGGATTGGCCGGTGACGTCGCCGGCTCTTGCGACAGTACGCCGGCGGACGTTGCGCCGGCGGTCGATGTTGATATTGATGCCGATGCTCCCGACGATGGCCGCGGAGGTGGTGGCAGTTCTGGCATACTTGATGCGTGAGTAGGTGTGCAATTCTGGATGCATCTCAAAGGCTCCCGATCCCGCGCTTGCATCAGCCTGCAATATTATAATTGCGATTTATGTGTTAATCATGAGCAGTGACTTCAGTATGATTGGTATGGAGTATTCTATATACTGAATTTCATATTTGTATGATATTTAGTCGGGGAGAAATTTAGAAATTAAAAATCATAATGTAGAAATTACAAACATACAAAAAATGCCACTGCATTGCTTGAAGGATGTAATGCAATTTTTATGTGACAATCCTGAGATATCTTGTATCAAAATACGTAAACTTTATTCGCGTTCTTTTCAACGCTTCTACAACTTCTTCAAGTTGTTCGAATAAAAGCTGATTTTCTTATTTAAGACATTTAAAAAGTTATCTTCGATCTACACTGAATCAAAAACGTAAATTATATTGCGACATTGTATTGTGAAATGGTCGATAATTAAATATGGAGGAGCTCATTAATAATTTTATTAAAAAAAAAAAAAATAAAATTAGAGCGACTACTTTTGCCATGTAGAAAAATATGTATGAGGAAATATATTTATTTCCCCCTATCCTCCTCTTCTCTCCCTTAATCTATTCTCGAGAATTACATACATTGAAAAATTTTATTTCGCCGCACCTGGTGTTAATGCATTTCTTGAATAAAAAAGTGAACGAAAGTGTATGTTGAAAATATATATTGATCATTTGCAAATTTCGACTATCACTGTTTAGATTCACAAGGTAGACAGAACAAATAGATTTTTAAATACCTCCCATTTTTAGAATCTAATGGTATTCTTACTTATTTTATGTTGTATTTTAACTCAAATTTTAACTCAAATGTTACCTGCTATATACTTATAGCTCACTTGGAAAGATAAATAATAGTTAATATTCAGATCGTGCTGTTAATTCGAGCTTTCGTAAAGTAGTAAAGTGACGTACCTTCCCAACTCATTACAGTTTTCGTCAGGATGAGAGCCGCGTTCCTGTAACAGTCTCTCAAGATTTCGCTCCAAAAGTACCCTGTCGAGACCACTGGGTCTGGAACCACTGGAAGGAAGTCCTTCCGCGCCAAATTCAGGGCTCAGAGCATTCTGGGTACTCTGGGTAGGCGTTGTTGCCAAAGAAGCGGAAATTTGTTGATGTCTTCTGGTCATTCGAGGCGAGTTCCTAGGAGATCCGAGAGTATGCCTTGAACCTGGAGGAAGCGGAGGTGGAGGCGGTGGAGGTGGACTCGACGAACCCTCGCTCGTGACCATCGTCTGCCTCCTACCACTCCTAAAAAATTAAAAAATATTAGATTTTATCATGTAATTTGTTAAAAAAGAGAGTATATATATATA